CCAGTGGTAATAATTATAAAAAATGGAACAAAACAACACATTGAAAGAATCCTGGAAACCCCAGCAAGACATACAGAAAATTGTCTTAATAAGGAGAACTTTGTCTATGTAACGCTAAAAATAAAAAAAAAAAAAAAAATTAACATGAAATGTGGCCAAACAACACACCACGACCTGCCTTAATAATTCCTAATAAAATAATAATAATAATAATAATAATAATAATAATAATAATAATAATAAATAATAATAATAATAATAATAATAATGATAATAATAATAATAATAATAATAATAATAATAATAATAATAATAATAATAATAAAAATAAAATAATAATAATAATAATAAAAATAATAAAATAATAATAATAAAAAAAAAAAATAAAATAATAATAAAAATAAAAATAATAATAAAATAATAATAATAATAATGATAATAATAATAATAATAATAATGATAATAATGATAATAATAATAATAATAATAATAATAATAATAATAATAATAAAAAATAAAATAAAAATAATAAAATAATAATAATAATATAAAAATAATAATAATAATAATAATAAAATAAAAATAATAATAATAATAATGATAATAATAATAATAATAATAATGATAATAATAAAAATAATAATAATAATAATAATAATAATAATAATGATAATAATAATAAAAAAATAATAATAATAATAATAATAATAAAATAATAATAATAATAAAAAATAAAATAAAATAATAAAAAATAATAATAATAATAATAAAAAATAATAATAATAATAATAATAAAAATAAAAATAATAATAATAATAATGATAATAATAATAATAATAATAATAATAATAATAATAATAATACAGATTATCATTTGGAATATACTGAGAACAAGCAAGAAAAAATGTCCGTTTGGAAAAAGAAAATACTGATATTGCTTAGGAAAAGTTGAGTCAGTTATATGCCATGCGTATTATTCGCTTAGGCGATCAAGTACCTCTCGATACATGATTGACGAGGCAGATTTTTTCCCGCAGTAGGTTGCCATTTCTTTCTGCAATAGATCACTTGCCATCCAAGGCTATAGAACCTGATCTGTCCTGCTATTTACCCATAGTTGGGAGGAGAATAAGAAGACTCATACCTTTTCCAAGGGTATTAGCACGTAAATGAATGTAATGGATTCGGCTCTCCGATACCTCAATCCTAGCCGCTATCCATTACTGCATCGTGGGGGACGGTTGGAAATGAGAAAAAGAAAAGAACGAAATTACAGACGAGAAGAAAAAAAAGAAAGAAACAAATAAAAAAAGAAACAAATAAAGAAAGAAAGAGAAAAAGAAACTCATAATGACAAAGAAATAAAAAAAGAGAGAAAAAAAGCGCCTTTTTATAAGGAAGAATATAAAAGTGAACCAACTGATCCGAAAGGATATGATGAGTAGGAACAGAAAGTTACAAACCATATAATGTTGATGTTACCGAATGTAAGCATGATAATAATTGTGAAAAATACGAAACTAATTAAGTAGTATTGCGAAGAGAAGAAAATGCTCTCTTTTTCAAGTATATGAATAAAGCGAGATATATGAAATATCGTTGTTAGCATTTATGACATACATGAAGAGAAAGTGTTATGTAGCCGAATTGACGTGCGGGGTAATTGAAGATCTGAAAATGTGATAGACATGACGATGAACAACAAACTTGTTCTCATGAATATTTCTCATTAGCGCGGACTTTCTACAAATAACGCGGCTACCTGGCCTCCTGCCAAACACCAGAAGTCCTCAATTTTATATTTATAGGCATCTATACAGATTCCTTGACGTATATAACAGCGTGTATGCACTTTAAATAACTCATACTTATACACACAAAAGAGTATAGGATTCCATAATTTGATTCAGGTTGTGAATGAATCAGTTTCTGAAAGATATAAGTATATCATATTACTTCTTTTTAAGTATATGCATGATTTCTGTCTGTTTATCTATCTATCTATCTATCTATATATATATATATATATATATATATATATATATATATATATATATATATCAATTAATTCTTTTTTTCTATATATTTATTTATATATCTGTATATATATATATATATATATATATATATATATATATATATATATATCAGTTTATTCCTTTTCTATCTATCTATCTATCTATCTATCTATATATATATATATATATATATATCAATTTATTCCTTTTTTGGTCTATCTATCTATCTATCTATCTATCTATATATATATATATATATATATATATATATATATATATATATATATATATATATGTATGTATATATTATTTCAATGCCAGAAGATGATTGAATGAACAGTCGAAAACACTTGCGTATTAAACAAATACCGTATACAGCTTATAATTTTTAAAAAACAAGGATCATTACATTCATCGTGTGGTTGGTAGATTAATGCACCTTTAAAATTTTGTTAGCGAAGTCATTTTGACATTTTATATCATTAACTTTACTAATCTACATTTTGTATGAATGATTCATTGTAATATAAATTTAACTGCACCACATATTTGATATATATATATATATATATATATATATATATATATATATATATATATATATGTCTGTATGTCATTTTCTCTTTTTTACTTTCATTAATTAATATCCAGAAATCAAACATTAATCCGCTTATTTTGGATGTGCGGATGGTATGTCCTTGAAATGAGCTGAGTGCGAATTCCACTAGGGTCTGTGACATTCTCGTTCGCGCAAATACTCTTTGAAAAGATATAAATCGATAACCCCCCCACACCAATTTTGGGTTACATAATAGAACATGTTTCTGTAAAGAACACTGTTATTCACAAGAAATTGTTAATGCAATATTCAATCGCACAAAAAGAAGGATTCTTGTAATCCAACGTATCTTCTGACTTTAAATTACCTACAACAGGTTGATAAGCCGTAAAATGTCAAATAAATCAAGTAATAATTCTCGAATACGCAAACCGGTAAATTTACACTGTTGTAAAATAGGGGCCTCACCTTAAACTCGTGTGTCCGCTGAATTATAACTATAATAGCGACATCGTATGTTATTTTGGTAGTAAATTTGCTATCTTTGAGTTTGTTTCATCGTTTGCATTAGAAGATACAATCATATATAGCTTCGGGCATATTTTGAAAGGAACCTCTTAATTTAATCGATTACCCACATATTTACGAAAAACCTCATCGATCAACTCATAAACGACATCAGACGCAGAACGGAGGAAATGGCTAGAGCTGACGATGACAGAAATAGCCGGAAAGATGTGTTCGTCAGAAATGTTCATTCCTATTGAGTGCGTATTGTTAGTGAATATCAAATAGGAGAACTCTAACATTTTCTATAGGGATAAACGTGCCCTAGTCAAATTAATGTTACAAAGTTACAACTCGTTTTATTTGTCTCTTACAACGCAGGCATTGACTGAATGATTATGATTTGTAGGAATTAATCACTGAAGGTGTCGATTTACGTAGCATACCGAGGTTTAGAATAACGACAGAATTCTTAAGCGTACAATAACAAATATGCCGCAATAAAAAAACTTATGGACTGCTAGTCACATATGTTAACCGTTGAGTTACTATGGTATAGATGTATACTAAATTTATTGAGGTAGAGAGCAGATGTACAATTCCAGGAGATGATCTAACGAACTATACAAGGAATATTCCTATATTCTATATTGTCAACACTCCGTTAGTACTGACGGCAATTAGCAGAGCATTAGTACTGATGGGTTATCAAACATTCCATTTAAAATATATATTATATATTAATTTTCTTCTATATATATTATTGGGGGTTCATGTGTCCAGAATGCGTCCGACTAGACTCCTACGTATACATTCCTATTTGGAGAACTCGTCGGCGACAAAAAGGTACGCGGAGGCCCAAAACGACGCTGCAAACATCAGTTGAAAATATCCCTGACACAGGCCATCATTGACCATAGATCTGGGTAATTGTTGCTGCAAATCGGAGTTCCTAGCATAGGGAGATCCGAGAGGTGGTTGTGGGGAGTAGAGGTCAACCGTCAATATGAAGAAGATCTGCGAGGTACTGTCAGGAGGGCCCAACTCGCCTAGCCACGACCACCACCCACACTCCTATGTGACACTTGATCACAACTCTTCGGGAGTAGGCTGGGCATTCACAGCCATCTCCATCGCCCGTCACTAGAGGGAAGAAAGGGAATAAGGTCATCTGATGATCCCGATGTTCGGGTTCGAGCAGGTGTCGAAAAGCGATTAGCGTTATTTTTGCTTTGTTCTTTCTCTAATAAGTAGCAATAAGAAACATCTATGTGAAAAGTCAAATTAAATGCCAGTAGTAAAACTGTTTCTTGTTATCTGTCATATGTGGTCTAACAGGAAAATTAATGAACATATGTTGGAGGAAAATTACAAGTCTTGGAAGGAATGAACTAGCTATCGAACATAAGACTTTCTTATTAGTGAATATTTATACAAACACGATCTAAAAGACGTATGTCTCAAAATCTGATGCCAATAGAAAAAAAAATGCTACATTCGTACAACAGGATAACTTCAGCCCCACTCCACCAATATTAAACTTATTGTATTTCTCAGAAATACTCTTGTGAAGTTATTTTTTGTTTATTTACATGTAAATGAATGCGGTAGATTTAATCACTGATACGTACGTGAAATCTTACTAGACTACGAACATGTTTTATCATTTCACCCCATGCAAGTCGACAATGCCGCTGTGATGTGTGATGAAAGCAGATAGCCTAAATACGCATATGATAGGGTTAATTTCGCCTAGAAACAGAATAAAGGTCACGTGTGAGTCTTATGACATTTTGGGAAGGCAGGTCAGAATGTTGGCTGACCCAATTAACCGTAGCGACAAATGTCTAGACAGAAGCTAGACAGAGGACGGTTGTAAGTTAGAATTCGCGCCCAAAACTTAAGACACGTGACAGTCAGAGATTCACTCGAGGATCAGTTGCTATCTTGATTTTGAAGAGGTAAGACCTGTAGCCGAAGCGCTGATAGTTTATGAACGGAAAGATAAGACGCATCTGATAGTAATGTAACTTATCCAGTTCAATCCAGGCAACTCCGGACAAGAAGTATTTCTGTTCGATAATCCCAAGTTGAATTGTGTAACGAAAAGAAACGGATATCCAGAGAGAGGAAGAAAGTATACCTCTGTTACAAGTTGAATTGTGTAAAGAAAAGAAAACGGATATCCAGAGAGATGAAGAAAGTATACCTCTTTTACAAGTTGAATTGTGTAAAGAAAGAAAAGGGAAAACAGAGAAGAAAGTGTATACCTCTGTTATAAGCTGAATTGTGTAAAGAAGAAGAAGGAAAGAAAGAAGAAAACCAAAGAGAGGAAGAAAGTGTACATCTCTGTTGCTGTAAGTCGGGTTGGAATCCGAGCTGTCGACAGAAGAAAAGGAAGAAAAGAAAAAGGCGAAACAAAGAGAGAGAGAAAGTGTATACCTCTGTTACAGCCGGACAGTGTGTGAAATTGTGTTTGTGTCGAGAAAAGAAAAGAAAGGACATTGATATATATATATATATAAAAAGAACCGAATATAAAAGATAAGTAATCATATTTTGGACCCATAGAAAAAGATATACATACATCCACGAATATTATGTTTTTGCAAACACCTTTCCACATGTAAAACAATAATTGTAACTTCTATTCCATCCTTTTTGTGTGTGCGTTGGCTTCTGCATTCAATTCATAGTAATTCATACTTATATTTTGTATGTTCGGATTCAGTTGAATCCATTTGGTGTTAGGCGAATTTGATATCCCAAAATAAGTTTGAGATCTGGTCATCGGATGTTTTTAGTCATACTTATCTGTTCTTTTATTTTTGATATATGTATATTTGTATATATTAAAAGTATTGTATCAAAAATCGCTAAGCATTATAGTTCATCCTTGTATTGTGGATCAGTATTCGTGTTGAAAACGAAGCGGACCTGGGAAAGATTACTGTTCGATTATCCCAATCGAACAGTGGTCTTAAAAATATTTTTGTTTACCAATTGTCCACTCTCACGATCTGAGAGAGATAGCTTGTACGGGTGTGAGAGTGTATATATCTCCTAGTCGACTCATGATCACCCTATAAACACATTGGTCGACTGGGGCATATGACAGCCGCTAAGACACAAGTTGTTATTGGGATTGAAAGGGAATGAGAATATTTTAATAAAGAAAATGACAAGAAAAGAAAAGGGATTCAGGAAGATAAAAGATAATGATTGACATTGCATTTAAATTTTTGAAGATCGTAGAGGGCATGGAAGCAAGAAACTGTAGGAGGATTCCACAGGTAAGAAGTGCAAAGAAGAGATTATTAGAATAGAACTTACGGTTCTATACAGCTATTTCAACAGAAAAAGGATGATACCTAGTTACTAACCTAGAAATAAGCTTAAATTCATGCATCAAGGAACAAATAAGAAGAACCCATTATAAGACCAGCCATGAAAATATTTATAGAAAAGACAGATGGAATCGACATCATGGCAATGGGGAAGTGTCTGAAGTCGAGGTGCTCATTCTGGACAAATAGCATAAAAGACCCTTGTATTTTGACGTAAATCTTGAAATATATAGCAGGAGCACCATACCAGATATAGCAGCAATATTCAATGCTCGGATGAATAGAAGATTTCTAAACGTGCAAAATGGATTTCTGGCGATATAAATTTCGTCAAATATTGTTAACCAGGGTTTTGAGGATCTCGGAAACTCTCTGAACATGGATAATACATTTCTCTCGAGTGGGAGAATGGCCATAATCTCAATGAAACTACCCGTAAAATCACCGATGTTAAGCAAAGTCGATTCTGGTCCGTACCTAGTTGGGTGACCCCATAATATAAACCGGGTGCTGTAATCTTGGATACGCATGTGGTGTAATCGATAATAATTGGAAATTGTTAATCAGGGCCGGTTTCAAATTCCCATTGGGTTCCTTGTTTTCGCTTACGTACAAATACCATTTGGATAAGTATCAATACACCTTGTTTCCCCAAGCTACGGTTAATCAATAAGACTTTATCACTAAACTATAATTTAAAAAAAATATTGTTACAATCTATATTATTTTACAATTTAAACATATTTAATGGCTGGAAATCGCCTAGAAAATGTTGATAATCCGTAGAACAACCAACCAACTATCTCGTTAGTGTTTTATACCTCACAGGCACATCCGTTTCGATCACGTGCTTGCAGTTTCCATTTTTATCGGGTCAGTCGTGGACGCCATCGAAGTGTCTAAGCAGTGGTTGATCTTTCAAATCGACTCGCTGTTTCAGCTGCCTTCTTTGAAAGACGGTATGTACACTATTTCGTTCTCACCTGGGGTAAATCAGATAACATATATTGATTAAAACCAGGAAAAATAAACTGTAGTTATTTGAGAGAGGTAATTTACATTTTATTGTTATACATCGTCACCTATGCGATATATGTGCCAGAAGGGAGACCCAGTCTATGATCAATGATATAATGAAAGGGTTAAAAGAAAGTAACCATATTAAAGTGATTGTAATCGCTCTTTGATGCGTTAATATCGAAAATCGAAGCGAAAATAAACGTTTTATATTGATTATGATAAAATCTCATTTAAAAGATGCATGCTGCTACAGAGAGCCAGGGATATGTTCAATGATGTAATGACAGGATTAAAAAAGAAAATAGCAATATTAAAGTAATTACAATCAATCTAGAGGATCCAATGGAATATAAAGCTTTATATTGACTATGATAGACTCTCCTGTTTTAGACTTATGTGCCAGTAGGGAGACACAGGCTATTGTAAATGATGTAATGACAGGGATAAAAGAAAGTAACAATATTAAAGTAATTGTAATCACTATAAGGTTCTTTACGACTGAGGTTCTATATGAAAGTATGTCTTGTCACCTGGTAAATATCAATTAAAAATATTGTGGAATGTTTAAATACACCAACAGAGGATTCATTTCTAATTAAAAATATTGTGGAATGTTTAAATACACCAACAGAGGATTCATTTCTAGTTAAAAATAGAGTGCGAGGAACTGTATTAAGAAAATCGAATGCAGCACAACACATAACTATATTAGTGCGACATTTAGAGAAAATAAATACAGTGTAATATCTATGGTCAGCGAGATTAATTTACTTATTAAGACTGTTAAGTATAAAGATTTCTTTCTAAATGTCAAACACATTATTCTTTTAAACAGAGAGTCTTTTAGACACTGTAGTAGAAATAGTCGTAAGGGAGAGATTAGAAATCGTTGCTACAAGACGAAAGCCCCTTATTGGAAATCTTTTCTAGCCTGGATAAATTATTTTTATTTACAAGGCCCCACACAGATTATTTTTATTTGCTACTCTAAGCAGACTTTGACCACTAAGCATCTCTGTCTCTTTAACGTCATCCATTCGCTCAAACTCGTTAAGGTGTTTGCTTGATGTTTCCTGTGTTTCTCTTGCATTTCAGTGAATAATAAAGGTATTTTTCCTCATTATATGCCACAGATATCTCCCATGATCCTTTGGCTTACGGCAACATCACGGTGAAACACTAGTTCCCGTACAATCACCGCAGTTATGCAACATCGAGCCGAATCAATGAGAGCTAAATGCGTGACTGCTTGGGAATACCAGATGCTGCAAGCTCCGATGTCTGGGTGGTTTAATGCATAATGGCTCGAAATTGTTAATCAGAGAGCTGTGTTCTAATTCCAGTTAGGTTCCTTATATTCGCTTACGCACAAAAAACCCTTTTGGAAAGGTATGTATCCACCTCTACTCCACTTAGCTATGGGTTACTTAGTAAGAATCGTATGAACAAAACCATTATTATCTGCAAAACAACAACAACAACAATAATAATAATAATAATAATAAATAATAGAAATCTCGAAAATGTGGCATATGGGAACATCAACAATCCCTGTTGTAGTTGGAACCCTAGGACTTGTTGGAAAAGATTGCAGTAGACTAATTGAAGGGATTCCTGGAAGTCCATGCCTCAAGGAGATACAAAAAATTGTCCTGACAAGTACAGCCCACATCTTACGAAGGGCTTTATCTATGTAATTTAATTCTTTTTTTTTTTTTTTTTTGTCAGTGGAAAGTGTCATGACGCCATTTCTAACCTTAGGTCCCTGGGCGGGACCCGGAAAGAAATGTGTAAACGCCAGAAATCAAAGATAATAATAATATTAATAATAATAATAATAAAACTGCGTACAAAATATTTTGTTTTCGGCATTAAGTACTCCATAGAGCCTGATATACAGCTAAGAAAAACAACTATAACTCTATTTTTCTTAAAGATATGTTTTCTTGTAGATTTTATCTTTGTCAATTTTGGTCTTAGCATTCAAGTTTTCAACTTTATGATGGAATTACACGGCGTTCAGTGTCATATAGATTAGCTATTGTGATGATGGCCAAACAAAGGTTCCTCGATAGGAGCTAGCTTAAATGCCGCACGATAATGTGCCTTTAAAGCTAGTTTATAATAAAACGTGCACTGCAATTTTGGATACAAAAGGAAAATAAGAGTTACTCTTCTTGAAACACGAAAGCAGCGAGAATGGCTAGTATTATAATATATTAATATATATTTTTACCTTCGGATAATCTGGCAACCCTGAATTAGAACTCAAGGAAAATCGTTCTCTGTGCCAAACTTTTCTTAGGCTTTTGAATGAACTATGAATCTTTGAAATCTTACCAGTGGGAGCGGAGGAGTTGCTTGGACAAAAACACTCACAAACGCCCACACATACACTGTACTTTATATATAAGATGTGATATCATATATTAAGTAAGCATTTTCTGTATCTAACAACACTTTCCCACCTCTTAATACTGATCTTAACTTCTGGATACATCTTTGCATCTATTACATCTGTCATATTTTCTTTCATCTCCCATGACACAGGAATTTAATCATGTTCTTCTTTTAGACAAAAAATATGGCTTTCGCTTTCGCTTCCCTTTGTAAAATGTTGCATTGCTAAAGCTTATTGTTGGAGTCAATCGACCTTTATATAAAAATGTTGAAGGCCGGACTGTTACTTTGGATATCTTAAACGCGTTTGACATGCTGGCCTTTTTCAAAAGCTGAAAGGTTATGAGATTTGTGTACGACAGTTTTACCTTATTCCGTCTTTCTTACCAAATTGCGAAATAAACGTTAATTTGATCTCTTCTAGATCTTTTTACAATAATACAGTCGTATCCCAGGACTCTGTCCATGAACCTATGTTGTTCTTAATTTTCTTCAACGATATTATCGTTATCATCAGTGCCCCACGCGTTATCTATGCTGATGACATAAAGATTTACTCTTTTGATAAAGTACACTTGGTAGCTATTATGAAAAATAACATACGTTGTTAACGCGGGCAAAAAAATGTCTTGTTAATTTTAATGTCTCCAAAAGAAAATTTTAATCGTCTGAGAAAATCTTTTTGCCATCCATCTGCGTGGCTGATGCTAACCTCCAGGAGAATGTGCCATTGCAGGTTGTTGAGCTAATGTTTCCGTTGAAATGAAGTGGAAATATTATATTGAATCAATTGCGAAATCTTCTGGAAACTTTTCTCGTCAGAATCAAGTCTACAATTTGTCCATGTATTGAATATTGCTGCCACATCTGGTCTGCTTCTTCTGCTATGTATTTAGATATTCTTGATAAAATTCAAAGAGGAATCCTGCTGCTTTATATCTGCTTCAGTCACCATCAGCCACTATAAGGTACATTCAATGTGCATTTTCTATAAATATCTTCAGGGTAATTGTCCTGATGATCTTTCTTCGTTGTTGCCTAGACTTCGTGGATTTAAATGCATTACTAGATTGGCAGCTAGGTCTCATCATTTTATAAGTGAAATGCATAGATATAGCCGTATGATAACTTTTTTCGCTTGCCCTTCTTACTCGTGCAATTCCCCTACGTTTTCTTGCTTTCCAGCCAAGCCATGGCAAATTTAAAAGCAATGTCAGTCATTATCTTCTAAGGTTTAATTCATGTTTTTTGGGGTTTTTTTTTTGTTTTGTTTTCTCTCCTTAATAAAGTTTTCTTGTTCTCCAATTAT